TTTAAACTTTTTCCTAATTATAATGACTATCACTGTAAATTTTAGAACTAACTCAAATCCAATGGTATTTGTCATGACACTTGAGATGGCTCCTTACTCTTAAACTCTGAATCTCCTTCCAATAATTTGAATAGGATAAAAAGTATCAATCTGTTGTTCCAAATGCCTATCTAAATCCTCTAGTATATTCAGCACATTAGCAACATTTTTTGCTAAATGATTAACAAAAGTAGCTGTCTTAACTTCTTGTTTCAAAGCAATTGCAGAAGCAGTGGTGCTAGCAATTAATGTAATTAAAGCTGTTATGCCAGCAATAATCAAGCCCACTACCCTCTTGCTTCTGCTTAAAGCCTGACTCACTTCTTCCAGTACTTGCAAGCTTTTTTCAGAATCCCAAGGTTCTCTGATACTCAGTGCAATAAAACAGAAGCTGGTTGATAGACCTCCATAACAGACATGCCAGGTTTCAACACATTAACACAATTAGAATATATACAATCAATGCAACTTACATTAAATATTGTAGAAGAAACAAAAGTAATTTTAATTTGATAATTAAAAGAGCCTTAACATATGTACTAACACTTGTTTGAAATCCAAATCCTGTCCCAACTTTATCTCTTGCTAGTGTAACATCATAGAGAACTGCAGCTAACTTCCAAATATGTCTCTGAAAGTGTCCAGAACCAGTCTTCCAAATGAAGACTATTATTTCCAACATTGGATTGATTTCTAGACCAGTCTATGATTGTGTCTGAATAACTGGTCACATTTTTAAAAAATAGAAGAGTCATTATAACTTCTCTTTTTGATTCTCTGTTCTACAAGGTGTAAAAACTTGAGGCTAGGCAGCCTGTCCCATCTGGGGTATAGGCAAGCAAAGGTGGGTTGGGAACATATGTCTAGTACAGTTTCCCAGACACCCTTGTCAGGGCACTCAGCAAGCTCACAGGTCAGCATCCTTCTTTGTCTCAACCCGTCACTCTGGTGGCTACTATGCTCCTTCAGCATCCTCCAGAAAAAACACAAACATGCCCTCTTCCTCATATTAAATACCTGATCAGGATCATTTCATATGCCAGTAAGTGGATCCTTCCCTTTAACCTATGCATAAGTATGCCTAGTTGTAGAGTGCCATAAACACTCAGCAGAAAGTTCCTTGGCATCCAAATTTTTTTCAAAAAATTTAAAATAAAAAAGAACATGATTTAAATAAGTTTGAGGTGTACAGGAATATACCTCCCCCTTTTTTATTTTATGAAGATATTGTTTTAAGGTTCCATGGGCCCCTTCTACAGTCCGTTGTCCTTGACAATTAATTATAAGGAATCCTAGTAATATGGGTAATATTAATTTGCTGCCAAAAAGTCTCAAATGTTCGACTGTGATAGCCAGTTCCATTATCTGTTTTTTATTGGATACTTTATATATCTACATTTCAGATGTTATTCCCTTACCCCATTTTGCATCCCCCGCAGAAATCCCTTATCCTATCCCCCCTCCTCCTCCCTTGTGGGTGTGCCCCCACCCATCCACCCATTCCCACCTCTCTGCCCTTGAATTCCCCCACACTGGGGCATCCAGCCTTCAGCAACCAAGGCCCTCCTTTCCCACTGATGCCCAACAAGGCCATCCTCCACTGTATATACAGCTGGAGCCATGGGTCCCTCCATGTGTGTTCCCAGGCTAGATGTTTAGACTCTGGGAGCTCTGGTTGGTTGGTATTGTCACTCTTCCCATGGGGCTGCAAGGCCCTTCAACTCCTTCATTCTTCTTTCTTAACTCCTCTGTTGGGGACCTGGTGATCAGTTCAATAGTTAGCTGCAAGCATCTGCCTCTGTATATGTCAGGCTCTGGCAGAGCCTCTCAGGAGACAGATATATCAGGCTCCTGTCAGCATGCACTTCCTAACATCCACAACAGTGTTTACAATTCGCTGACTGCACTTGGGATTGATCCCTAGGTGGGGAAGTCTCTGGATGGTCCCTCCTCCAGTCTCTGCTCCACACGTTGTCTCTGTATTTGCTCCTGTGAGTATTTTGTTGTTCCTTCTAAGAAAGACTGAAGCGCCCACACTTTGGTCTTTTTTCTTCTTGAGCTTCATGTGGTCTGAGTTTATCTTGGGTATTGTGAGCTTTTGGGCTAATATCCACTTATCAATGAGTGCATACTATGTGTGTTCTTTTGTGATTGGGTTAACTCACTCAGGATGATATTTTCTAGTTCCACCCGTTTGCCTAAGAATTTCATGAATTTATTGTTCTTAATAGTTGAGTAGTACTTGATTGTGTAAATGTACCACATTTTCTGTATCTATTCCTCTGTTGAAGGACATCTGGGTTCTTTCCAACTTCTGGCTATTATAAATAAGGCTGCTATGAACATAGTAGAGCATGTATCCTTGTTATATGTTGGAGCATATTTTAGGTATATGCCCAGGAGTGGTATAGCTGGATCCTCAGGTAATACTATGTCTAATTCATGTCTTGAATTATTTTTATATTTTCATGTCTTGAATTATTCTTTTTTTTTAAATAATTTATTTTTTTCAAATTGTAATTTTTACTCGTTCACACAGGGGTTATAAACACAAAGAGGCAGGACATGGGGAAGGGGATGACACTGGAGCATGGGGTGTTCGGGGGAATACAGATATCTTTCAGAGCAGGGTGTCGGCTGGGTGAAGGGTGAGGGGACAGGTGGTTATGACTCTGCCTATGATTCACTTGTCCTTATCTAAGTTGGTATTATCTGCCAAGGCTACCTATTTACAAGGTCTATGACTACTCAGGCTGGTAAATTTCCACAAAAGCTGCCTATTTACAATAGCTTATAGCCATCTGTTTCAATGTTTTTCCACAGAGACTCAAGACTTGGTGTTAGTATACATGTATGTCAGGCCTATTACTGATTTTGAGGCCTATGGCTGATTTTAGGCCTTCAGTGTATAAGCAGGGCTGCCCCTGACATCTCCTTCCTTCTCTAAGTATAGAAGGGCTGTGGCGATTTTAGTCTTGCGAAGGTGGGGATAGAGGCCTGACCTCCAGTAATTGAAGGGGACCTTGTAATGGCTCTGGTAAGACTTAGTATTTTGTGTTTGTTTGTTTGTTTGTTTGTTTGTTTGTTTTTTCGAGACAGGGTTTCTCTGTGTAGCCCTGGCTGTCCTGGAACTTACTCTGTAGACCAGGCTGGCCTTGAACTCACAAATCCACCTGACTCTGCCTCCCAAGTGCTGGGATTAAAGGCGTGTGCCACCACTTCCCGGCGAATTATTCTTAATATCTGGATTAGGTGTGTTTTCATAGTCTCCATTCTGATATTTATTTATAACCCTCTTGATCTTTTAACATATTAGGGTGCAGGATGCCATGAGGTTCCATGGTGGCCTGATGGGTGGGATGGCTGGCAGGAGGATTTGACTTGGTGGGGTATACCTGATGTTGAGGGCTACAGGGTCACACATGATACAAGCAGAGCTGATGGCTGGTGTGTGGACAGACTCACTCATAAAGGATCAATCTTACTCTTTTGCAGTTGCTATAACCTTCATTTGTTGAAAAGACTACTGTCCCCCCATGAATGGTTTTGGCCATTCTCTTGAAAATTATTTGACCATATATAATGTAAAGCTGTATTTCTGAGATACGCTATTCTAATCCATTGGTCTACATGTTTATGTTCATGACAGCATGAATCTGTTGTGGTTACTATCATGTATCTTCTTTTTATGTTAGAAATGTTATTTTTCCCTCAACACACAAATACTCTGACCTGTCCTGCCTGCATCACCAGTCTCTGTGGAGTTCGGCTGCTGTCATCTTTGCCTACTTGCCTATGTTCCCAGCACCACTGCATCCTTCCATCCACTTGATCCCCTCTGATACTGCTGCTGCTGAGCTCAGCATAGCATAGCAGGGTGATTTTTTTCTTTCATTATCCCTACCCCCAATCCTCTCTTATTCCCTGCCTGATGCTGCAACCAAACTCAGGGCCTTGGTCCTACTAAGCACATGGTTCACCACCATATTATATCCTAGGTTTCTTTTTCTCTTCTTTAATTATGGAGCAGTACATTATTATAGATTACTTTTTGTTTTTATTTACTTTTGTTTTCTTCTTGGACAGGGTTTTGTTTATTTTATGGTGTTGGGATCAAAGTCAAGGCCTTGAGTATTCCAGGCAAATACTTTACCAGCAAGCTGTACCCTTTATTACAAATCTTTCTTCTGTACTGTTTGTAACAATCCTTTCTGTCACCATATGACATTTTTGTTGTTGACCTAATTTGTGTTTAAGCCATCAAGAGCTACCAACAACCCATGCTTCCTCAAAGAAGAGCCTCTGCTCTTTCCTCTCAGAATAATAATGCTGTCATCCTGGGTACCTAGAAGGATCTGTGTATCTTGAAATTATATGTTCTTTTGCTTATTCTCTTCCTCTCAGGCATCCTGTAGAGATTTTACCCATTGTGTTAGTTCTAGCCGTCAGCTTCAGACAGCTGACTATCAAGCTTGCATTTGGAACATTAATTTATCACCCTTTGGATTTCTGTTGGGTGAGTGATTTTTGCATTAGATCAAATATTCACTAGGGAATATGAAAGGAATTAGCTATTCCAAATACCTTTTATCCTTTTGGGAAAGGTAAGTCAGCACTAGAGTGTTACCTCACTTTGTTCATGTTTGACACATGGATGAGAGAATCTAGAGAAGAATAGATAGTGAATGTCTTACAGGACAAGTAGTATTTTACTTGAAGAGGGAATTATGGATGCTGTTTTATCCAGGGGAATGCTTAAAGTGGTAAATACCCAAGAAGTGACTCTGGAAAGTTAGCTTTCAATACCAATGAAAAGAATCCCAGAATGGCACATTAGTAATGGCTCCTAGCATGGAATAGATGACTAATGTATTATCACTTAATGGCTAGAAGCATCCACAGAGACTTTTCACTGAAGATAACTGACATTCTGTTTTTGTGCCTCCTATTTGTCACAACTATGTATTTTGTCTGTGAGTATTCACAGAAGCACTTGAATAAAAAAAAGCTGAAAAATCCTGAGCTAAGCATTCCAAAAGAAAGAAAAAGATGAACATGTGATTGTACTGAACCAAGTCATATCAACAGTCAGTTAGGAAAGAACATACTGAGCCTGAGATCCAAAGCCAGGCGCTAGTCAGTAAGTTCCCCTTTGCCGGTCTGTAATAGATCCCCATGTCCTGTATAAGAGCTTCTTCATCTACTCATTTGAGAACTGGAGACTGAATATGGGGTCATATGAAGGCTTAGCATGTGCTCTACCACTGAGCAGTTCCCTCACTATTTTTTAAGAAGTGGAGATTATTTTATTAGCATAGTGGAATGGTTTTGGTATTTCCAGTGGCATCTCAGGGAGCAGCTTTCATTAACTAGATCACAGGTCATTCAGTTGGTTGATTGATTTTGTGTTTCTAGCTTTATGTAAAACCCAGGAGTGCCTTTTAGACAGGTAATAAAGCAGATTTATTTTCCTAGGCATACAGTCACTCAGTCTGTGCTTTTTTAGCAAAGGCAAAACATCCACTAATTGAAAATCCAAAATATGAACTAAAAAAGAATAAAAAATACTTTAATTTAATAAAAAATACTTTAAAAAAGAATAAAAAACCTTTAATTACCAAATCAATATTAGCCTTCTAATACTTTTTTCAGGGATGTAGAATACACACACACCATGGACAATGCCCTGCCCAGTCCTTGCTGTCTTTCTTTCTTCCTTTGCCTTTGAATACTACCAAACATCTCTGTGCACTTGTATTGCTCCGTTTAACAACTGTGAACAGCAGCTTTGAGCCTCTCTGCTTAAGACCTAACGTTTATTAACATTTGGTGCATTTTAAAACTATATAACTTGGCAAATTAATGATGTGCTTCTTTCGTTATAACAGATGTGCTCCTGTTTTTAAGCCAAAATGTCAAATTTTTACAATGGTATAGAATTTAGTAAATATATTTGAAAAGCTAGTACTATAGAATTAAGCTAAATATATTCACTCACTATTGATAATATATTTTATTTAATTATAACACATTTAAAATGTTCAGAGACAGCTAAGCATGGTGACACACACCTTTAATCCTAGCACTTTAAAAAACTTATTTATTGCTGGGCAGTGGTGGCGCACGCCTTTAATCCCAGCACTTGGGAGGCAGAGACAGGCGGATTTCTGAGTTCGAGGCCAGCCTGGTCTACATAGTGAGTTCCAAAATAGCCAGGACTATGTGTAGAAACCCTGTCTCAAAAACCAACCAACCAAAACAACAACAACAACAACAACAAAATAAAAGAAATTGTTCAGATGCTTTCTAACATATGTAAATGGAATTTATATTTAAAGCACTTAAAATATTGTTTTAGTATCTCTTTTAAAGAATTTTTTCTTTATTTTTGAGGTTTTCATGCATGGACACAATGAAATACAATCATATCTATCCCTTCTTACCTCCAACTTCCCTCCTAACAGTCTCAACAGGGACCACTCTTGTGAAGAATGGGGCCAGGATGTCTTTGTCTTTTTTTTTTTTTTTTGTCTTTGAAGAATAGGGGAAGGCATATGCCATGGTAGAAATCAGAGAGTTGTGAGATTAGTTTTTTTCTTTCTATTACCTAGGACTTAGGTACTGAATTCAGGCTGTGTTTACATGCTAAGACCTTTATTCTGTTACTTTAAAAGTGATCAGAGTTTTGAAAAAATAAATGGCTTGTTTATTTGTTGTGAAATTTACTATCTGTTGTGTAGAAGATGAGTTTCATGATATTTTGGTGCTTCTTCATATTTATAAACAGGATGATTTTACTGCTTCAAGAGAGTTCATCACATAGGACTTTTCATAATTCTCTTGAATGTTTGCTGGGCTGTATTTAAGTCAATTACCCTTGTGTGTAATGAGAATGGTACTGGTTTGTACAAGAAGTGTACAATCCTGTGTTAAAAATCTAGGTTTCAGTTAGTAGAAACATGATACACAAAAACATTTGCTGTCACTTCATTTCATACATTATTTTAGATATAAAATATTACAAATTAAATTTGTATAGATTGATACTAAGAAAGGAATGTTATACTTAGTAGCTGTTCAAAAGTACAATTTTTATGTTTGTACTAATAAGGTGTTCTTTCTCTAAACAGGAGAAAACATCCATCACCTTCCACCTGTGAAAGCCCCTCTTCAAACAAAGAAGAAAATAACGAAACATTGTTTTCTTTGTGGAAAGAAAACAGGACTGGCCACTAGCTTTGAATGCAGGCAGGTGGCCAGCTGGAGAAGCTGAGAGGCTTTCTCTGTGGGGACTCAGCATGGTATAATGCAGAATAAAACACGTTTAAATGGCTATTTATAACATCCAGATGATGTTCTAATAGCAGCCCTCAGATGAATTCTTAATTGGCTAGAGAGAGATAGATAACTCTTTAGTTTTCAAAAAGCATAAGTAGACACTCCACAGTCGTTGAACTAGGACATTTAGGCCAATTGATTTGTTTTAATAGTTCTTGGAAGAGCTCTCTCCTTATGTAAACGGAACAAAACTGAGCTCAACTGGCAATTAGTTTACTATATATTTTAACATTTGGTACAGTTATTTCAAAACATATGGATATATATTTTTAAATACTTCTCTTTTTGTAAGTATGCCTTTCATTAACATTGATATCTTCCATTTGTGTGAGGACAAATATTTAAAAGAATTGTGACCTTTATTCTGTTCACATAAATCAAGCTTATTTTCTTGCTGGTCATGTGTTTTAAGTTTTCTCATGGCATAGCTTTTTGTTTGTTTGTAGGTTTTGTTTGGTTTTTTTTTTGTATTTTGTTTTTTGTTATGAGACAGAGTCTCATGATTTGCCCTAGCTGGCCTGGGTCTTGCTATGTACATCAAACTGGCCTTGAATTCACAAAGTTCTGCCTCTGCCTCCTGCTGGGATTAAAAGCACAAACCACCATGCCCAGCCTTACATAGCTAATTTCTGTATCACCTAATTTTTTCACGAGACTTAATTTCTTAGAATTCAAAATTTCTAACGTAAGAGATATGTTTATCAGCTTTTCATTGTTTTCCTTCAATAGTTGTCATTCGTGAACAATTATCTTATTCTTTTCGGAGGCTTTATACTGATGTGTGGAAGGGAACTGTTGGTACTCTAATTGCTAAGGAGATCTACAGGGCTTTGTTGGCCTACCTGAAGTCAAGCTAAAGAGATGAGACCTCTGTGGAAATGTGGCTATTCACGTAAAGTTTTTTTGTGCTTTAGATGTGGAAACAACTTCTGTGCATCTCATCGCTATGCAGAAGCTCACGGCTGCACTTACGACTACAAAAGTGCAGGGAGGAGGTACTTGCAGGAGGCAAACCCTGTGGTCAACGCACCAAAACTTCCCAAAATCTAATTCTTCTCTGTGCTTTACTGCTTTGCCTGAGGAATCGATTATATTGACAGAGAACTATTGTTTAGACTGCATTATTTTTGTTCGACTCCAAAAGATTTGCCAAATAACAAGCGCACGTAGTGTGCACTGTTGCAGACTGAAAATGCCTACTGTATTGATGTCTTTATTCTTTGGTGAATCACAAGTTTTAAAAGTAGTTTTAAAATCTTTACACTATAATGATTTAATTTTGTTATTGCATGTCTATGTTAAGTATTTTATATTTGAGATTGGAATTATTTATTAGACAAATCTTCAAAAGATGCACTTTAGGAAGTTACTATTGGCCACGTAACTAGGCTTCCATGTTGTACAGCAGTGAGTGGTTCCATATGGCTCTGTTCAAACTGAGCACAATTTTCCCTTTTTTCTTTCTTTTCTTGTGGGGATGGGATACATGGGATTTTAAAAAAAAGTAAATCCCACATGTGAAAGTTTATGAGGTTTACTAGCAAGTTCTTTTTAAAAGAACATTTGTTTTTTCCAGTGTGATTTTTTAACACATATATTTCTTCCATATTCAGATTGGCATTCATATATGTATCCAGTCTGTAGAACACATCATGTTAATATAGTATACATTTTTTAAAAAGAATACTACTTTTTAAATGGTACTTTTAAAATAACATTATCTTACTTGTTGCCATTAAAAACAGAATCCAACTTTTCATTTTTCAAAAAATGGCTAAATATATATTTAAAAGTCTCACAAACTTGGTTTATTTTTCTTACATATTGAGTGCTTTTACAGGGGAAATTCAAATAAATATTCAACTTCACTATGACTTTATTTGATTATTTACAATACATTTTCTTTTATAAAATACTTAGATAAATAAGTGATTTATTATGCTTGGGGGAAATGACTGGTAGTATAAAGTATTTTAAGGTCTAAGGACTTTGTTCTTAGGTATAATGAATTTTCTCTTCAGGACTTTGGAGGGCCATTGAAGCTAATGTTGAATGCAAGGCAACAGCTGTTTGGTGGCCAAGCTAGGGACAGCACCCTGGTCTCCCACAGGGGCTCTCAAAGGTCATTTTGGTGCTTCATAGACCACTTACTTACTCCACTGAGGATTGCCTGGAGAACTCCTGATACTCTTCTCTCATTTTGTATAAGAGACTAAATGTTGATGGACAGAGATGCCATCAGACCTATAGTAAAGTACATTTGTTAAAGAAAGTGGTAAAAAAAAAAGTGTAATAGAGGAAGGAGCCTCTAAATTAAAGATGGAGGGTATGCTTTTGTTTGTTAGTTTGTTTTGTTTGTTTTTTTTAGATAGGGTCTCAGACTGTAGCTAAGGCTGCCTTTGACCCTCTGTGTAGCCCAGGCAAGCCTTTGAATTTGCAGCAGCTTTTAAGCCTCAGTCTCTCTTGTGCTAGGATTATAGGCTTGAGTTAACACTCTGCTAAAGACATGCTTTGTATGTGCGGCACATATATGTGAGTGCATTCCAAGGGTACATGAGGCCAGAGCAGGATGTCAAGTGACCTGCACCAATAGGTCATTCTTCAGTAACAGGGTCCTAAGTGAGACAGGTTGGAGATGAGGAGAAGATAGGAAAACTGAGGTCTGGAGATCTTATGCAAAGCAAGCTTATCATTAAGAAGTACAGAATCTTATATTCTATTTACACAGGAGAAATGGGACAAAGTTATCAGAAACTATTGAATAGTGGGGTGAAGTTAGCCTAAAGCCAGTCCAGCAGTGTTGTACAAAAGAGAACACAGGCTATCTCAAGTTCATCACAACAGAGCACATAGTGGCCTTAGGACTGATTACTCCAGCTCTTTAGGGGGAAAAGCCAAGTTTCTAGGAACCAAAACCTTAACTCCTCTGAGGCCCTGGCCACCAGCACCAACCTGGGCCTTGCCAAATCTACTCCTGGGCAAAGACACCAAAGTAGGTTCCCTTTGTCTTTTCACTGGGGCCTCTGAGAAAGCCTTAGATCTACCCACCCCTGAACAATTAGGTGTCTTTATCACGCTGCACTGTATTGCCTTGAGATAGGGTTTTGCCATGTTGGCCAGCTGGCTAAACAGCTTCCAGGATCTGCCTGTCCGTGTTCATGGTAGCCCTGTCAGTGTTGTCATTACGGCATTTGTAGCCATGCTCAACTCTTTACACGGGCACTGAGTGTTTGCACTCGGTTCCTCATGCTTGTTTGCAGTGCGAGCACTCAATCACTGAAGCGTTTCTCTAGGCCCTGAAAGGAATGCTTTTAAAGAGGAATACATAAAGAGTAATGAGGCATCTGTGAGAAGGTATGTCTTCTCTTACCAAGTAATAAATGTGTTTTAGAAATATAAAAAGTTGCCAGGAGGAGGTAGCTCATGCCTCTAATCCCAGCACTTGGGAGGTAGAGGCAGGCAGATCTCTGGGTTAGAGGCCAGCTTGGTCTACACAGAGAAACCCTGTCTTGAAAAAAAAAACAGCAACAAAAAACAAAAAAACCAAACAACAAAACAAAAACAAAGAAAGAAAGATAAAAGTTAAAAATTCCTATGTACAGGCACTGAAAAATGAATCAAAGCATATTTGTTATATAAATATGAATATGTAGGTCAGGCTGGATATATGTCTTGGGTACTTTCAACTCATAATTAGTAGCAGAAATAAGTCTTTATGTTCTATGAATGATTTTGGTCAAAGTTGCATCAAGTTTTGTCTGATACTGGAGATGAGATGGTAGCCTCAGCAAGCACCCTGCCGAGCCACACCCCAGCCCACAAATGAGTTACTTTGTAGTTTCTGAGTCATTTAGAAATGAAACACTGTAGTTATTTTTTTTTATCATTATTGAGAGGGAAAGACAAGATCTTTCTTCCTTTCAGTGATGAGTTGTGCCCTGCACACAGCTCTCAGTAACAGCCTTGAATAAATGAACTGCCATATTGTACAACCTGTGTAACTTATAAAATAATTTTAGCGGGGCGGTAGTGGCTCACGCCTTTAATCCCAACACTTGGGAGGCAGAGACAGGCGGATTTCTGAGTTCGAGAGTTTGAGGCTAGCCTGGTCTACAGAGTGAGTTCCAGGACAGCCAGGGCTACACAGAGAAACTCTATCTTGAAAAACCAAAAAAAAAAAAATTAAATAAAAATAAAATAATTTTAAATCTCAGTGCATTTTATACCCTGTTTTTGGTTTGTAAAAGCAGCATATATTTGGTTTCACAGTCTGTGTATTCTTAACTTTTTGTTGTTTTGTTGTTTTCAGACAGGGTCTTACTCCTTAACTCAGGATGGCCTGAAACTCACAATGTAACCTTGGCTGGCTTCAAACTTATGATGGTCCTCCTGCCTTGACTTGTCAGTATTTTAAACTTTTAACTCTGTAGAATATTTCAAGTTACCTTTAGGGTCTAGGGATGTAGCTCAGCTGGTAGAGTGCTTACCTGGCATACAAAGCCACAGAACTGGGTGGGTGCACCCCTGTGATGTACCTATGATCCTACATTTAGATTGGAATCCATGGGGAAGCAGAGACCAGAGGGTCAGAAGTTCCCAGCATCCTTGGCTTATGTGGTCAGTTAGAGGCCAGCTTGGCTCCATGAATCTGAATATTAACAATAACAACAATGAAACAAAAACAAAACAGAAATATTTAGTGCAATTTAATCATTAAGACATTGGAAAATGTTTATATGCTTTATATTAGTACTTCTGAAGTGATTTAATTGTAAAATAGAGACAGGAATTTTCTCTTAGAAATAAAATGGTTTTAACTCATCCTGATAATCAGATTTTGTATCTAGAAGTACTTTTAAAAGTGTGCCCAATGTACCACTGCTGAACACAGGATGGTTTTAGGATGTTTATGGATGGATAAACACTTTAAAATAATTGGGCTCAAAATAAAACTATAAACTGTTCTAAATTTTAAAAGTGAAATAAATTGTTTTAGAATTTTAAAAAGCTGAGTGAAAACTTACAAGTTGCTAGGACACAAAACATCTCAATGACCAAGGAGATGAAGGTGTTTTAACTTCCCTTCATCACTGTTAAATATTTTCAATTTCTAGTGAAAATAATATCTATTTAAAATTTATATATTCATATAAAATTAAAAAAGCTATAATGTATTTTTAAGAAAAAGTTAGAAAAGTCAAATTTTCATCAAAGACCTGATTTTTTTCCTGTTAACCTCTTTTTCTGGCAATCACCTCAATATTTATAAGAATAGTGAACACATGGAGATACTCTGTCATTTTGTGCACTGTCACTGGTGAAGACTGTGAGATGACACATTAACTCAGTACCGCCACTTTTTTTCAGCACAATGGTCTGCTCAGGCTGTCAGAATAAAATGCCACAGATTAGGCAGCTTGAGTGGCAGTTGTGTCAGGACAGTTCCAGTGCCCGGACGTGCTCTGTGTAGGTCTAACAGGGCCCATCTGTGGAGGTTTCTGTCTTGCATATGGGCTGTGTTCTTGTTGTATCCTCACATAACTTTCATGTGTGTGTACAAAATTGAGATGAAGTCACACAGGAAAGGAAGCAAGAATGAAAACTCGGCAGTATCTCTTATAATGCTGATACCAGATGAATCCAAGCAAAGTCTAGCCCCTACTATGACCTAACTTAATCACAATTATGTCCTTACACCTAAAGAAAGCTTGCTGGGGCCTAAGACAGCAATGCGAATTTTGGTCAGAGATATGAATTCATTCCACAATACACACCACTATTGGCCCCACAAATTCATATTGTTATGTGCAAATGTAAATGGAAAATTCTTTTTTTGCCCCACAGCCCCGCAGTCACACACTCTTAATTTGTTTCATAAGACTTAATAGTCCATTCTGTCTTAAATGCCATCTACATCAGGTGTAGGTGAGAGTGAGTCTGATTCAACCTGAAGCAAAATTCCTCTCCAGCTGTAAACTTGTAAAATCAGAAAATGTTATGCTTCCGAAATCCAGCATAGGTTTGGGATAACTATTGCAAAAGGAAAAAGCAGTGAGGGATGACAGGTCCTAAAGTAAGTCCCAAGCCTAGCAAGGCAAATCCCATCA